TTCATTAAATGTCGGAGCATGTTTGACTTGGTTGCATAGGACCTATCACATCCTTCTACTTCACACCTGAACGAGACTTGTCCAAGGTCACATTTGCCCAGGTTTAGATCCTTGTGTTCTTCTTTTACATGACTAATATATTTTCTCAGAGCTTTGAAGGACTCTGTGCATCCTTGGTGACCACACGTGAACTTGCCGAGTTTGATGTCAGACAGGAGACTTCCAACTTTATCAACAGTGAATTCATGAAGGTGAATGTAATGCAGGAAGAGGTTGGGGACTTCTTGGAAAATACAGCAACAGTCTGTCACTTGACATCGGAATTCAGTGGCCTGAGGGACTTCTGGCTCTGGCTTTTCTTTAGGACAGTCCGTCGCTTCTGCTCCTTCGCACTGATCCTGCTCTTCATTCACTTCCAGTGCTGACAAGGCGGACTGGTGCACCGCCCTGTAGTGGAGGATCAGATTGTGCTGAATGGCGAAGGCTGCCACACAGCCTTGATGAACACAGCGATATGGTCTATACGGACTTGCACTGTCAACTTGTTTTGGTTTTCTTCCTCTAGCCTTCTTAGGAATGCCTACATTTGGTTTAAGTACATCTGGTCTACTTAAAGAGCCTTTTTTGTTACTAAATGGTCCTTTAGCCTTTGTAAGAGTGACAGACAAATCCTGGATGACAGGAAAAGGCGGACTTGTGACCTGCTGGCTGTGTATCTTAGGCACGTTTCTTTGTGATTTTGACAGCCGTTCAGATGCCATGCCTGCTTGTATTGCCGCGGAAGTCTGAGCTGATGGTGCCATTTCAAGGCTGTGCATGGAAAGGGTCTGCAGGGGGCGTATGACTGAGCAGTGATTGTCACCTTGAGGCTTAGAAGGATCATTGAAGGCTGCACTAATATTAGGGACAAACTGCTCTCGTTTCACAGCGTCTTGGAGCGGATACAGACACTCACCGTTACCCACAGTTGGACGAGGGGACTTTGGGATCTGAGTGACTGGAGAATGGTTTATAATCTGAGGTTGGTTCTGGATAGTACAAGCAGCCGCCGCTTTAGCTTCCTTGCGTTTCATGTCAAGTTCTGCGATTTCATCATTTGATAATTTGTGAATTGAAAGATAGTGAGAACGAAGGTTAGAGTTTCGAGTGAATGCCTTTGTACATTTTAGACATTTGAATGGCGCATATAGCCCAAGCCTTCTTTTGACTTCATTAACCCTTTCAATTGTATAGTTGTGTACTTTGGAGAGGTGTTTCCACAGGCTTTCACCTGATACAGAACTAAAGGAACAGTTTTCACAAGCTAATTTTTTGACAATGGTCGATGGGGTTGATCTTCTGGACTTTAACCTAGGAGAAGCCATCTGGCAGCTTGCATGAGTGCTACTTTCTTTCACAGAAGTTGACAACTGCTCAGATTTTTCTCTGAACAAATCCAGCCTTTCAAATGCAAACTGAATTTCTGTCAAACACGGTTGATTGTTTTCAGAGTTCACAGCGGGTTCTGGATCTGGAATACTTAGTGAAATAGCTGGAGGGCTAGGGCGCTCCTCATGCATGGTGGCAGTCTCTCTGAAACAAGTAAAACTCTGCGAGTTCAGTAGTGGTTCAATGCCACCAGAGGAATCTGGGATCATGTCATATGTTCCTTCAAAGGCCTGTCCTTTAATAACTGAACCACTGTTGGCATCATGAGAATACTGTTGAAATCCACAATCTGTGGATGGACTAGCTGCCAAGCCTGATGATCCGGGACTGGTTTTAGAGTCACTGTTGCCAGAATGACACAAGATGTTTCTTCGGTGAAAGTCACCAGCTAAAATCTGCTCACGTAGCTTCTTTTTTATGTTTTTCTCTGCTACCTTCCTTTGACCGTCCATCTGCCCACAACCCATTATTGCCCGACCAAGCGGACCATCAAATATTGTTTGCATTACTGATTTTGAACCTGCATTTAGTTTTGGCTCAATTGTCTTGGGGTTATTTCCTGCACCCTGAATTCCTGGAGGTATTGTGTTGCTTTTACAATCACTGCCCATACCAATAGTAGAGGGAGGCTCTGGAAGCAGTTGTGAAAAAAGTGGGGCAGGGAATTTATTCTCTGGGAATCTACTACTTCCTGGCTGAGGACAACAACCTGCACTATATGGGTTAGTGTCTGGTTTCAGCTGGATCTTTTCTGTATGTTGTATCACGGAGGAGCCAAGTAAATGCTCACTAACCCCATAGGGAGCACAAGGGTTTTGAAATAATGGCTGGGGAATTGGTGGATCAATGAAAAGATCTGTCATATTGGATTCAGCCATAATTTGCTTAAGAATATCATCACTAGACTCTCCATTTTCATATGTATCCAGGTGTTCTTGAATATTATTAGGAGTGGAGAAATCTTTTGTTGACAATGAGCCACTTGTTACCATCTTATTTGACTTTTGATAAACATCAGCACAAGTGTAAGGAGGTTGTGACTCAGAGGTGCCAACTATGTCCTCTGAATTGAGAAGATTGAGAAACGACTGGGGCAAGTCAGAATTTAATTCCGACTCTTGATATGGTTTGCACGTTGTCCGCTTAGACAAATGACCTCCAAGGGATTTTGGACTAGCAAATTGCCTGAAACACCTCCGGCAAAAGACCTTCCCATCTTTAATGATGGCTGGGCATTTGGTTCTTGTGTACTTTCTAGAGCGTTTCTGATTTGGACTTTTTTCAGACTGCTCAAAGCCATATTGTGGTTGGCTGTCTTTGCAGCCTTTGTTTGCCTCAAAAGAGGAAAAATTGGGCTGTTCTTGACTTGCCCTTGTTTTCTTTAGTGTCTTAGAAGCAGAGGGCACAGATGGTGTACACGATGAAGGGGACTTCACATGTTGAAGCACTTCCTTTGCATGTTTAATACACGAAGGAATAGTAGACTGAGGCCTGCTGTTGAGCTGTGGCAGTAAGGCCTCTGTGTTTTTTGTTGATCCTATCATAGAACACGTTGGAACATTGAGAGGCAGAGTTGTGGTGATAGAACTACCTCGCGACATCGCCTTTTGATTAGATTGAAAGGCTGGAGAAGAGCGAGAGTTGTGAACTTGTTCACTTCCAGAAACGGAGTTCCAACTTTTACTGCCTGAGCCCCGAGACTGTGATGATGTCAGATTTCTGTCCGTTTCTGGATGAGAAACAGCGATTGGTTTCGAATTATTAGCTAAACGTACAGAACCATTAACATTAGGCGGCGATGACTGAAGTACTGGTAAGGAATTGGGGCAGTTTGAGCTCTTTGTCCCATCAATATAAGGAGGTGACTGAATAACATTCTGTGCCCGAGATCCAGGAGTCTGTACACCTTTAGCATTCTTGTTTTGGACAAAGGAGGCTGAACTCAAATGCCGCATGGATGGTGTGCGCCGCACAGGACCATAGGTTTTTTTAATTTCAGTTCGGGAAAGTTTCCATTGCTCATAGAAATCTGAGTGAACCACTTTCATGTGTTTGGTAACATTTTTATAGGAGCTATAATGTCGTTCACATGTAGGAAAGGCACAATGAAACCTCTCCCTGTGTCCTGGTGCGGGACCTGTGATGTTTGAGGGAGTTGTGGAATTCTCTGGTTTACTCCTAGTAGGTTGCTTGGGGCTTACAGTTGGGGGGAGTGGTTGGGACATTGCTGTTTCTGCAGACAGGCGAGACAGTGATACCGTCAGCATGCTCCTACAGGACATCGACCCATGGAGCAATGGCATGGATATATTACCGTTAGAGTTGTAACGTACCGCTTGAGTATTTACATTACTGGGGAGCAGTTGTGGCTGGTTTTGGAGCTTTTGAACACTAGCTTCAAATGCAAGTACTGAATGCTTTCTTTGTTGTGGCATGGCACACTCCAAGGACTGATGGACTTCTCCACGTCTGTTAAGATCATCAAGGTGAGACCGCACAGACTGAATCACAGAATTATTAGAAGTGTACATCTGACTTGTTGGGGCAGCTGGATTTGGATGGTCACATTTAGCTTTGCCTTGTTTCAACATTTCCTTGGGCTCTTGAGAGGACTTTAGTAAACTCTCAATAGAAAGCAGCGGCTTTCCAGGATTTGTTTTACCAGTGTCCCCACTGTTTAAGTTCTCATCTTGCTTAGGCAGAGAGGGATTTGAAGACATCTGATGACCAAGTGAAGAACCAGACTGTATGTTTGTTGAAGACTGTGAAGGAATTGCAATTTTGTTCTTTTGGGCATTATGATTGTCAAGGTGCAGATCTAGCTGCTGTTGTGAATGGAACACCTTTCCACAGTCCGCATCTTTACAAGTGAATGTTCTGTAATGATGTGCTTCGTGGTCGTACAATTTGAAAGCAGCGTTGAAAATTTTGCCACAATTTGGAAACATGCACCTAGCCTTGAAAATGGTGTGCGTCTTTTTATGTACGAGAAGTTCCGTGTTAGTTGCAAAGCAAGCCTTGCAGTTCAACTGCACACATATGTAGGGTTTGACACCACAGTGAGCTTGTAAATGATCATTCAGATGGGTCACACTAATAAAATGACGACGACAATACTGACAAACAACTTTGTTGTACCACAGCTCCAGAAAAGTTTTAGCTTCCTCGTTGTCCCCATGATCTTTAATATGGGCGATAAGATTTTTGAAAAACTTGAAGCTCCTCCTACATTGTCCAACTGGACACATGTTGTCCTCACTAATCTCTGCCTCACGTTTGACTGGCGGTTTAAAACTTTTAGTTCTGATCGCTTTCTGTCTAAACGAACTCTTGTTTTTGTGAAGCTGATTGAGTGTCTTGGCCTTTGATGCTGCAGGGGGCAGGGTTGAGGTTTTAAAATCAACCAGTGAGTTGTTGGTTTTCATTGAACTTAGCCTTTCCTTGGATGACTGTTTTACATGGGACGTTACGTGGGGAATCAACGTGTCTCTGGTGGCAAAGGTTTCAGTACATATGGGGCAGGAATAGACTCCATTGCTTAGATGAGTCTGAGCGTGTCGAACGATCCGATGACCAAGAAACTCTTTGTCACAGAGGACACAGTACTGCATATAGGCCTGCCAGTTTCGGAACCGGCCAGACACTAAACCCTTTTGCCTTAGTTTCTTTATCTCCTGGTTTTTCCGTTTCTTATCGGTCCCATCTTGAAATCCAAATGTGCCTCGTGTTAGGTAGTCAGTGATATTGAAACCAGCCAGACTGGAGTATTCTTCCTCTTCCTCCGGGGTCTCGGGTTCATTCAGTGAGTCGATGGACGAAACAATTGACGCCTCTTCACCCATTAATGCGAGGCAATGACGCTTTAATGTTTTCCAATCCCAGAACTCTGGGTCAAAGGGCCACAAGGTTTTTAAAACTAGTAGAAGCTCACAACGCAGCGAGTTGGAAATAGGCATGTTCTCCTCCTCTAGTTTTTGATCTGGTTCATTATAAAGCGTTCCAACTGCATAGTAAGCATCCACTGTGGGTTCCAGTAAAAACTCTGTCAGCTGACAGGCTCGCTTCACTTCCAGGTCAGTTGGAAGCAAACAGGACATTGTTTTACACACAGCTCCTCTGGCTTTAACGTCGTCCGATGTCATCTTCAGAGCTCTGATGCACATTTCAATGCACACCGGGAGGCCAAAACCATCAAGCTGAGAAGAGAAAAACAAAAGTTGTTCATTTATCACTGCAGCTACAAAGGTGATTGTTGGCATACTGCTGATCCGTCAAAAGCCGTTGACACTGTAGACCAAGCTGTTTGGGATTGTCTGAACATGCAACCTCACGGTTCACAGATGCTTGAAGGACAGAACTGAATGAATTAAACTCTGACAAAGACCTCTGAGCAAGCCCTCAGTGACCACTCTTGTGGGAAAGATAGAGGTGGTCCACACACACAAACACCTTGGTGTCAGGCTCGATGAGACGTGGCAGACGCGTTTCCTTCAGCTCCTACTTTTTGAGCTCTAATTCCTCTTAAAACCTGTTATTTCCTGTCACTGATCTCTGGATTTTTCGGACCCGACAGAGGCAGCTCAGCTCCTCCCGTAGCTTCTGCCCCACCACGACGCCTTTAAGCTTTCTAAGGCAAATAAAAGAATTGAAGACCTTAAAGAGGACATACGACGACTCTCTGCTGAACTGCTAAAGAGGGAAATGGTGCTGGATAGTTTTAGATCTCATTTTCCTGGACTGTCTGAGACCGCTGCCAGCCAGTTTGAAGATAAAACATCCGTGTAAAACTCTCTGCTCCAAGACACCATTTCTTGGGATCCCTCTCCACCACGAAATCCGACGTCCACTTAACCCGCCTTGCCAGCTGGTGGTGGTCGGAGGGACCGGTGGCGCCCGTGTTCGGCAGCCTCGCCTCTGTCAGTGCGCCCCAGGGCAGCTGTGGCTACATCGTAGCTCATCACCATCCGTGTGTGAATGGGTGAATAGGCTTGGATTACTACCCACCTACATCTGTAACTTAATCTCACAGAGAAGTCTGCGTAGAAATGATCAGCTGTTACTTTGAGTTCTGTTTGCTCGCACTGAACGGGGCAAAAGGGCTTTCGTTCACTCTGCATGGACCAGGCTGCAGGGAAACTGGAAATGAACCGAGTTTATCTCCATGATTACATTTAAAACCAGACTACGAACCCTTGAGACGGATTCCTTGTGGTGGAACCGCCTTCTGTAGTCTCGTACACAACATGTCTGTGTAAGAGAAACACCTGTAACTGTAACTGCCTCTGGGCCAGGACGCCCTTGAAAATGAGGTTTTTAATCTCGGTGGGACTTCCTGGTTAAATAAATAAAATAAAAATGTATAAACACATTTCCTTTTTCTTCTCACCATCTTTATCTCGCTATAATCAGCTCACGTAGAAATATAGGCAAGGCTATATAGCAACATGTTCATCTAATGTAATAAATGATGTATTTTTTATTTTATGAATCTATTTCTGAACAAACCGGAGGAGGAGAAACAATAAGAGCCTAAGCTCCTTTAGAACATGTCAACACTTTATTTACTTGATGCTGTTTTATTGGCTGAAACGATGCACGTTCAAACTAATGATTCATTCCATGCATCTTCTCTTCATGCTGCTGCTTCTACCAACTCTGTGTCTCGGGATCCTGTGATTACCTTTTTCTTCCTTCACATTTTTAACCTCAACTTTTCATTTTCCCATTTTTATTACTATTTAACAAAATAAATGAATCTATTTTTATCTTAATGGCCTGATGAGGCACTGTAAATCCCCGCTGACCAACACAACAGAGGGCCATCTACTAACCTCCGACTGGATGACTTTGATAAGGAACAAGATGTGGTATGCAGATTTGGACGCCAGAGACATCTGCTGGCATTTGTCGAGGAAGGCCTGCTCGGATGACTCCAGTCGCTTCAGCAGCTTGCTCCAGAACAGAGTGAGTTCCCTGTTTGGGAGAAAAAGGAAAATCTATTTTACAGAATGGAATTTTGTTATTAATGCAAGTTTCTACTCGGCCTCTTTGTGACGTAAGACACAATACCCAAGTATTCTGGTGTATCAACCAGGAACACTGAAGGTTAGAGGTCACAAGGCTGCCAACTCTCACGCACTGAGTGTGAGACACACACATCTGACCCTCTTCACACGCTCTCACGCCACACCTCCAGTCTCACGCTAAACCAGCGCCTGCTCCCCAAACACACATCACTCACAGTGCGTAGGGCTTACGGGAAACAAACATGATATTAATGATAGCATCAGCTACTGAACAACATGCACACAAACAACACTTAATACTTTAACTGGCGTTATTTCACACACAAAATCCCGTCTGTAGAATTCAAGCCGATGTTTTTTTTCCGCTCTGGTTGTGAGATGGGCGGAGCGGTGAGCTCCACCTGCTGTTGATGGGACGGGCATGCCCGGTTCTTTCTCCTAGAACCGTGAGCTGCAGCTGCGTGCGCCGCCAAAATGACATGCTTTATTTAGAAATGCAGCCGCGTCGCGGTCGCCAGCCGGTGTTGACGGAGCTTCAGTCCCGAGTGTTTTTCTTTTGTTTTCACTCATCAGCCACAGATCGCTGGCTCACAGCAAGCTGGGCTCCCTACCGGGGTGACTCACTCACATGTTCCCTCTCCTACATTAGTTCGTGACACAGCGAGTTAAAACATTAGGAATCCTGGTATTTTAATTCACCACTTCACCAGTGTGTTTTTCCTGTTCGTGAGACAAACCCCTCTTCCATAAACAGGTTACTGGTACGGAAGCCTGGAAAGGCCAAAATTCCTCAAACGTTTTTTTCCTACTGGCTGATATGAATGAATATAATAGAATAGAGTAAATGTTATTAGTCCCACAGTGGGGACATCCACTCATTACAGCAGCACACACACTTAGAGACACAGACTACATGTAAAACTGATTCCAGCCATGTTTGCTTAGATAACTTCAATAACTTCATGCTGATGAACACATGACTGTTTAGTGGATGCAACTACATCAGTGAAGTTAGCTTAACATGATGGATTTATTTTTCTTGGAAGGAAATAATAATTGGTAATATTATGAATGACATGATATTGCCCACCCCTAGATGGACTTTAAAAAAAATTACATTAATTATAATTAAAAGTTCCTGTGTGACATTTGTGACATGTAGCTGTAACTCTTTACGACCGACCGACCGACCGACCGACCGACAATGTGAAGAAGTTCAGGAGAGCTGGATGTTAAATTGTCCTCACAAAAAGAAAATTTGTATAAAAAAGGTCAGTTGCCTCTGTAAAGTCAGAGGTACGGAAGGGGATTAGGGCCACTGAAAAGAAAAGAAAGAATTCTGACTTTTTTCGCTGAATTCCCTGTCAGAACTCCGAGATTAAAAGTCATAATTTTGAGAAAATAGTCAAAATTCTGAGAAAAATGTAAGAATTCTCCTTCTTTTCTTTTCTTGTCAGTGGCTCTAGTCCTCTTCCATACAGAGTAGAAATAAATAAATAAAATGTAGAGCACAAAAAGTCTCAGATGAGTCCATGAATGTCAGTGACAGGGTGATGTAGAGCTGTCAGGATTTTCTCATCCTAGAGATTCACCGTCTGTTTTCTATCAGAAGCTACTGCAGGAGATCGGTGTAGGAGACTATTCTCATGTTCAGCCTGCATGAAACACTCAGAGTGACCCTTTAGGATCAGAAATAATCATAAAAAACTAGGTTTTCAGTGTTCCACACCTTTAATCATACTTGCCTAAAAGCCTTTTTGAGTTTCTGTAAGCTGTTGGCAGCTGGCCAGGGAGACATGATGAGTTAATCCCGACGAGTGCAGCTGTTATTACGGATTACTTACAAGCCATTTCTACTTGTTCATATCTTTTAAATTCCATCAGTCAGAATATTATTTGGACGAGGATAAATGATATTATTGTTATATAGAACAGGAATTACAGAGAGCTGTTGTTGATTAAATATTAAAATGACTTGCCGTACTCCCTTGTAGACGGACACAGGGAAACTGGGTTGAGCTGGTACTACCTACCAGGCTAATACCATTTCACCCACATGATGGAAAAGAAATATGAAACAACCTTAAGGGGTGTGTGTGTGTGGTGCGCGTGTGTGTGTGTGTTTCTCTCTGGACACAAATAATAAACATTAGAACATAATGCGTTAAACGATAAAATAAAAAGTTGCTGACAGCAATCGAGAAACTAATATTTTTTAAGCATAAAACATTTTGTGTTGAATCTTAGCCTACATTATTAGATATAAGATAATTATTAATCTGTAGGTGCGTACCTCCATCTGACTGTAGCATTTGTATTAACAGGTTACAAAAAGTTCATTAAAGTTGTTTGATTAGCCATCATCTCGTCTTTATTATTAGATGGCACATAGATGATCACATTCAGACTAGACGCTAACGATGGGTTTATTACAGAATCCTGGTGCAATAAGGTTCACTTTTATGAATGACACGATTAATCAACTAATCAACAAAACTGGTGATTAGTCGACTATTAAAATAGTGGTTTGTGGCAGCCCTGACCCTGATCCATAGCTACAGATATAATGTAACACCATCAACGGTGCAGACTCCCTGCTGTGGCATCATCCTCATCTGTGCCCCAGACAAGCTGGTTCCCAAAGTCAGAGACTCTCTTGGTCAGCTTGCTTCTCACACCAAACCCTCCATCAGGAATCTTGGCGTGACCTTTGACCCAGCTCTCACCCTGGATTCTCATGTCAGTTCTCTTGTTGGCTCTTCCTTCTTCCATCTCAGGAACGTTGCGGGTCAAGGGTGAAAAAGGTGAGACACACTCACAACAGACCTGCAATAATCACCTAGATGAGCCATTTTGGATTCAAAATGGCATTCATCACCAGTGTTGGGAGTAACGCCGTTTAAGTATAACGGCGTTACTAACGGCGTTCTTTTTTAGGTAACGGAATAATCTAATTACTCTTCCCACTGCTGCAACGCCGTTACCGTTACTGGGGACGGAAGGCTGTGCGTTACTATGTGCTTGTCGAACGTTGAGCAGCAGTGTGAGGCTTTCTGACCGCCACACTTCAGCTGCAGCCAGGGAGAGAGAGGTGTCGGTAACACACTTACAAACACCAAGATGATTGGCCGGGTGGGCGGAGACCCTCACCGTCTCAGTCGCTGCTGCTGTAGACACAACAGAGCAGTGATGGGAATAACGCCGTTTAAAATAACCGCGTTAATAAAAAAATATTTCTTTCAGTAACGAGCAAACTAATTAATTACGTCTTCTTTTAACAAAACGTCGTTTCTGTTACTGGTAAGGAAATGCGTGCGTTAAGCAGCGCGGTGTGTTGAAGCTGTCATCATCAGCTGATCAGGAGCTAAAGAGGTAGATGTTTTCATCCAAGAGCATCTCGGCCGTGAAGAACGAGGAAGACGTGATGAATATCTACGGCTGCAGGTGTGAGTCTGCAGCCGTGCCCTTCTTAGCGTGACAGCGGGACGTCCCGAAGGTCCGCTCACCTGTTCACCGCTCAGACGTCCTGACCTTCTACCTTCTTAGATCGTCCAGCTGTAACCTGTTCCTGATCATGTGTTTAGTCCCGCTATAACACTGATGCATCAGTCTCAGACGACATGGAGCTCAGGTGTTATCAGAACTACCTGTGTGTGTTCACCACCCAGCTTCAGCTCTTCTGTGGTTGGGTCTGACCCACGTTAGTAAATGTGAGTCCTCCATCAGGCTTGTGCCTCTTCTAGTGTCATTTTAAAGGATTTTATTTATTTATTTATTTATTTATTTAACCGTTACTAGATTAGCAGCAACAGAAATGCTGCTAATAACACACAATTATGTGAAGCTGGAAAAATTACAATACTGTACAAAATTACATTCATTTCTGTAATTTAACTAGACTGAGAAACCATTTAAAGGCTCAGGAAACTTTACAGGTGTTTCTATTTGCAATTTTAAATGTTAGCTGATTGGGGACTTGTTAAATATCACACAGTGACCTTTTAATAGTCTAGATAAGTGTAATGCTCCTGTTAGTAGTTCCTCCTGTTGAGTGCTTATTTTTTTAAATTATTCAGATTTATAAAAACATTTTATTATGTTCCAGTCATTAGTCATTTGTATTTCACTGTTGTAGTCATTCTTGCATGCTTTAATGAAAAAAGTAACCAAGTAGTTATTTTTCTTGGTAATTAGTTACTTTTATAATCTTGTAACTCAGTAACTGAGTTACTTTTTTGACAAAGTCATCAGTAACTATAACTAATTACCTTTTTAAAGTAACGTTCCCAACACTGTTCATCACCAGTGCTGCCCCTCCCGAGATGCAGAACATGCAAAAGCGCTCCAAGAAGAGTAAATTTCTGCATAAGAGAATGCATTCTCTCCAAATGCTCACAAGATGAGCTTCACTGCTGCGAGGCGCACCGCACATACAGCCCTGTAATCTACCGTCAGCAGGCCGGAGAAGAGAAACGGATCTAAAAATGAAGCTTTAGTCGGGCTTTAAATACGGGCAGAAATGAGAACCGTTTTATATCGTCTCAGGTTCACAGCCTTTCAGATCATGCTATCAACATTACATATAATCATATTATTAGTTACTGCAGTCGCCACATTTACATTCATTTCATTGTGTAATTTCCCATTTGGACCAAATCAAATCATAATCTGTATGTATAATGGATTTGTGGAGTCTTCAGTGATTAGCTGGTGTGGTTTGCACTCCAGGGCCACAGGGTCGATGCCGACGTTAGAACTTGGAGAAAATTGCAGCAGGGTACCTATTTTTTTTCATATAAAACTCTGTCCAAAATACAGTTTGCAACACTTCTCTTGTGTATTTTGTTTTACAATACATAACGGCTTATTTTTGGGAGTAAAACGATGCCCTTTACATCAAAGCTTCTAACCTCTGATGCAAGCAGAGGGAGTGACACCTGGCTCCAGGCAGCGTATAAACCATGTTTATACGCTGCCTGGAGCTCAGGCAGTGGGCGCTGCAGCTGCGACTCGTGGCATTCTCCCTCAACCAAAAGTCCACACATCACGCATTTCAGCTAAAACGCTAACGTCAACTTGCCTTGCATTGACTGTAGAGCTGTGGGTGATGGTCACGCAGGTGTGTCACCATGAGATTCAAAGTGTTGCTGCCTTTTGGAGACACTTTTTCCTGCATGTTCTGCAAACAGGATAGCAGTCTTCTATTAACTGTCCCTCAGCATTCTTCAAATATCCAAACTATGCCCATATTCCCAATTTGTCTTCTTTGAGGGCTGATGGACGTCCTGAGCGCTGCCGTCTCCCCTGGCCATTATTTCAGCTTCAGACTGAAGAAAGTTTTGGTTGTAAATTTAAAAGTGTGCATGCATGGCAACTTGAGCAGATGAGACGGTGGCTGGTAAGGGTCACCGCGACCACGGTAATCCACCGAGAGAATACAATTTTTTCAAAACAAGATGGTAATTATTCTGGTCAACATTTTTACCGAGGTTTACCGTTACAACGGTTACCGTGACAACCCTAATGTGGGGCGTACCAATTTGAGGAAAAGGAGAGGGGGATCATGATCTTGGGATGATTAACAATGCGTTGTTTAGATTTTGATAAGATTGTGTTCTGGGGCACATCTTTATGCAGTCCCCCCGGGATATCCGCCAAGGATTGGTGAAAATGAAATGTGACTTTCGAGCCCTGGACAGAGCCACGGCCACCCCCGCATACATGTAAAACATCCTCATCTAATTTGCATCGATCTCAGGGGTGCCCCAAATGGGCAAAAAAGTCCAGAAATCCAGTAAAAACCGTAGAAATAACATCCCTGTTGGGTGTGACCAAATATTGTTACATGAGGGTGTTTCTGTATGTAAACAACTGAACAGACACAAGCAGCTGGATATGCACAGGAGGGATTTAGCATCAGTGGATGGTGGGAAGAGCGTGTGTACGACTGGCCACTAGAGGCTTCATCAATCAGGACATCATAAAAATCATTTGTAGGACGCAACTAGGGCTGGGCGATATGACGATTTTAGACCGTTTTACGATCCACACATCTGACGGTCTGTCATTTTAGAGAGACCGTTTTATCACGATTCACAGCTCTGCTGTTGAATTTCTGCCTCTGAATGAAAAGGGAACTTACCTCAGGCGAATGACACGCCTTTGTTTGACCCTTAACCAATCAGAGTGAGTCATAGTAATATATTAGTGCCCCGCTTGTTTTCACCTGTGTGTGAACAAACATGGCTTCGGCCGCGGCTGAGCGACAACGAGGTTTTCGTTCCGAAGAGGAACGCAGGGTTTCCTTAGCGCGCGGCGCTAACAACTTAGTGACGTGACATGTCTCGGAAAGCGTAAAAACACGTTGGACGCTTCTTCTGAAGCAGGAAAATAACACCGCTTCTTAAGCAGAGCACGACGCCGCCTCGGCTCGTCCACCCTCTGCCGAGCCGGTGTCGGTACCGCTGGAGCTGCGCCGTGACTGCCTGATGGAAAACCAGCGGGTTTCATCAGACTCGTAGTTTCTTGTTTTTGCTGGGGACCCCCTGTATTTTACTGCTCCCTCCTGCAGTCTTCCCCTATTAACATTTAAAATGATTCTGTAAACTCGTGTATCAATAGAAACGATCTCTGCCTCTGCCAGCTGCAGTAAATGTAGTCTCCAAATAATAAATAAGAGGCGCATTCATCTGTGTGTCTCCTTTGATCCACATTAGTGATATTCTCAGCACCAGAACAGGGAAGCAAAGAAAGATTCCTGAGTTTGTTAGTAATTTTATTCATTAGGTGCATCTAACCTGTTCTATTTTTCTCTGAAATGAGATCAAATCAGTGCTTCTATGGGTTGTCTCCAATCTGCACTGGAAAATTTTACTTTATTTAGAGACTTGTTGCAGAAAATATTCAGAATGTGCAGTTATTTGCTACCACAAGCGATCTCTGGTGCAGCCGCACATCAGAGCCGTATTTGAGCTTAACTATCCACTACATGAGCTACTGGGAGCTACATAGTATTTTGAACAAGTTAATGTTTGCACAATACATTTGCAATTGACATGTTTGCACTTTAAATATGTTTACCATTTTAATTTATGTTAAGTTACTTGAAAAATGAGAAAAACAGATTATTGTAATTGTTTCTCTCAGGACTTTTATCATCTCTGGTGTGAGTTTAAAATATAAGAGTGTTAGCACTGTGCTGATTATCCCTAATATGAATAAATGTTTGTTTATTCAATGTTTCTCTTCTTTAATACGCAATTGAAGTTATGCTATTCATGGATAAAAAAATCTTGATAAAATCGAAATCGTGATAAAATATTGGAAAAATCGTGATATTCTATTTTTGCCATATCGCCCCGCCCTAGACGCAACATATGCCAGTTTCTATGAATGTCTGATGAATGAGGGCCATGGTGTGTTGAAGAAGGCCAACAAAACTTCCTGAATGGTGTAAACAGAACCTTCCCCCTCGTTCTCGTTCAATACCGGATTTACATAGTACCGGTATGTCCTTGTCTCTATGCTGCATAAGTTGTTTCCTTTTTTTTATTTGTGGCTTTCAGTGGTCAAAGGTTACATATCTAGACTACTGCCTACGTGTAGATACACATGTACCGTTATGGCTGCTCTCGTGGTCTGCCTGTATCTGTCCTGTCTATATGTGTGTGTGTAACCTTGGTCAGGCTGTTCTGTGAAGTCAAGTTCCTATGCTCTGGTTCACTGGAGCGCTGGCAATAAAGCTCTCTCTGATTCTGATTCTTTGTTGTTATTTTTTCTTCAAATCAGTCTTTTAACGTGTTGGTGATGCTGTAACAAGCAAATTTCCCCACTGCGGGATCAATAAAGTATTCTATTCTAGTGACCAGCGATACTTCTGGGAGTAGAGTTTAATAGCAGGCATCAGCACACACTGTAGGAAGAACTTTGTAGAAACAAGTATGAACCGCAGGCTTCTGCAGATACAGGACGAACTACAGTGGCAACACCCATAAACACAGCTAGCAACAGATGCAAAAGCTGAGACCACAGAACATTTACATTACACCAGAAAAACACCTCAAACACCCAAGTACACAAGGATTTAAACAATTACAGACCATAGACTACAACGATTGTACTTCCCTTCTATGGATGGAGACCTTGCAAAATAACCATCTAAAGAGAAAGAAACAGCTCATTTCTTACCAAGCGCAGTACGTGTCCCCATGGAGAAACTGACGGGTCAGAAAGGCAGAGCATAAAGTGAAGGCTGCTCCATCGTCTCCTTCAGAGTCCAGGTTGCAGATCATCTCTAACGCGTCCTTACAGTCCTCCTTTGAAAGCTGAACAGATGATCCCATTAAAATACAGTTTAACAGAAAACTGCATGCACCTAATGTAGGCAAGAACAGTTTCTATTTAACCATAAGTTTGTTTACCACAAACACGTGGATCCGGAGTGGCATTAAACAATGACTCACAGAAACAGCTTTGTTTGAGGCAGGAGAAAACTAAAATTAACTTTGTTTTAAACTTGAACATTTTCAGAAAAAGGAAAGTGATGAAACATGCTCAGACTCCTGGGGTGTGCCATTGTAGCTACCGCACCGTTCAATTTCAAGTCCAACAATTCAATTATTAAACAATTATCATTCAAACTTTATTTATAAAGCGATTTTCCTACAAAAGTGCAACTCAAAGTGCTTTACAGATTAAAATGACCCTACCTAACCCCCATTGCCATCCCTCCCACACCAATTAAAAGCATTGGCGCAGTCATAACATACACCCCCAATCCCAACTCCCATACACACATCCATTTAAGAACATCAGTAAAAATTATTTTGGGCTTTGTTAAGATGATCCAGATATGGGAGTGCAAGGAAATGCCATCACAGGAGCCATTTGCCCCAGCAGCAGCAGGCCAACTGAAGCAGCTGTGGCACCAAACCGGGTGCAAAGGGGTGGGAGGGCATAGGCCCCACCTTCACCCAAGTCCTACCCGGAGAGTACCCAGGCAGCAACCGTCGACCACCGCCCCAGAGGCAGAGGGCCCCCACAAAGGAAACACTGAAAAAAAAAAAAGATTTGTGCTCTGGGACAGCTCCTGGATCTCTGGGACTTGGAGCTCCCTCCATCTCCTACGCATCTTTGGGGGGCAGATCTGTGGCCCCTCACTCTCGATTGGACGCTCCTATAGAGAAACCTTACATAAACAAGTGCATGTACACACACAGGTGCTCACATGGTGCTCTCATAAGTATGGACTTGGGCACGTTCAACACACGTCTTAAGGCTGTGGTTGGCACTAAATGCACTGTGATTTATTATGATTGTTCAGTAAAACAATGTTGATTTTAGATTTCCTCATCAGGTTGACGCGGTGATAGCTTGCTCCTGTTGTATTGTTGTGTGTTTTTCTCTTTCTGCAGGCCTAGAAGCAGACTCTAGTTCTTCGTTGACAGTTTATTTTTGTGGAACCCCTCCACAAAGGAGAGAGGGGGTGCCATGTCCCGTGAAAACATGCCTTGGAAATTTCATAAACGTGGTGGGACCTGTAAGTATTGTTGGGACAAATCTGTAAAAGAGGACGAAAGAAAAATAAACAGCGCATTAGAAAGGAGGAGATGAGTGAAGGCTGAACTCGAAGAGAGAGCGTGTTTATAGAGGGCAAGCCGTTTTAACATTTAATTAGCATTGGGACCCCTCTGTAACTCCTGCTTTTATAGCAAGTTTCAAATTGAGCAGAAAATGTTGCACTTGTACATAATAAAAAGAGCTAAGCTATTTGTTTTTTCTTTTTCTTTCTGCTGATGAAAAAACGATCCCTGACTGAAAACCGTGACCTGATCTGAACTGTGAACATTTTGATCTGCACACCACTACCGTGCCCTGTAGGAAGCAGACATTTGTGAAGATTAGTTTATTAAGTCATCTTTGCATTTTTTTAATCTTTAAAAAAGAAAAAAATTGTAGCTGCCATCTTTTGCTTCTTTCGTTATTTTCTTTTATTTATTTTTTATTTTTCTTAAAATGTCTGTTTGAAAAACCTCACCTTTCCCATTTTTATTCGGTTTTTATTCTATTTTTTTCAGTCGTGATTTTTAGTCGTGTTAGCAGATGACCTGCCGGGTCGGTAACTGTTCTGACTTACGTCCCGGCTGGCCAGTTGGTTGTGTAGTTCATTTCCACCCTGACTGTCACTCATCAGCATAAAAGTTCATTCCATGTCTCCTGATGACTCCACCAAGAGGGAGCATATGAAGGTTAAAAAGCACTGGGCCAAAAATTGAACCTTGGGGCACATTGTAACCCACCAATGGTCAAATTTTCACCAACACATTGACCAAAAATTAACTTTCCTTTGCAGACACAAACACACCATCTGTCTGGCCCAGAGAGAGAACTCTGCTCCAGTCCTGAGACATAACATTCTCAGTCGAGGTCTCATGCAGCCGAAACTTCTGCATCCTCACTCTGATTACAGTTCAATCTCCTTAAAGTTCTTAAGTGACTTTACAACTTATAAGCTGAAATAATAAGATGTTTAAATCAAATGTTTAGATAATCTGTGCTTTAATCAACGATGTTGTTCCTGCCATGATTCCTTTCAGATCTTATCTACACCAGATAAGCATGTGTTGATTTAACTAGTTAATCCATCACTCATACACATTATAATAAGATAATTATTCATGTTTTACATTGACTTCACATAAGAGTTTAAACATTCTCATTCACACAAAGAGTTAACCATCTTTGTATCTGAAGGAGTGACTCATGAGGCATTTTTGGTAAAGCCCTCAAACGTAAATTATGATTTGCCAAATTCATCAGCAATGCGATTCGATAAAAGAGGAATTACTTCCTGATTAATTCAGTTTCTAGCCGACTCTCGAACCGGCCAATTCAGGAACAAGCATTCTGAAACCATCCCATCTTTTGACCTCAGGACAAAACCTCTCCGCAACGCTTGGCGATAGACAAAACGGCTCTTCAAAGAGCCAACGAGCTGCCTCAGATGCAAACAAGCATTCCAACTTCCTGTCACCTGGAGAGATGTCAGACTAGACGGGTCCTATCGGAGCTAATCTACGAGTTCCTGATACCGAGAGGTTCACTGCACCGGCAGTGTTCATCACGACCTCTTGACCCCCTGGATCACACGAGAATCTCCACATACGGGTGCGAAGACTTGGCACAGATTGTGTCGGATGGTTTTATAAACAAATCTCTAGTTTACAAACATACAGCGAAATAGATTTTACAGCCCAGACCCCACAAACTCTCACATACTTGAGAAAGGTTTTGCTATAACATCTAGCTTCCATTCCATCACATTAAATCAACTCATGTCCATTACATTCCATCATTCCACTCATACCTTGTCCTGTATAAATATTAGTTTAGGGAAGTAGAAATAAATCAACTTTTATAAAATATATACTTGACTGTCTGAACTAATACGAAGTGTGTTTATGGTCCCTTAATAAGTAAAAGTAACTATAATCTTCTGATTAAACATTGAACGATCAGATTGATATTTCATATTTATATGGAATTATCACATCTTATTGATCATTTGCTATAAATGTAGCCAATCATTAACGCTACAACACCACATGTAATCCTATGAACCCTAGAGGAGCCGATCTCTAAACTCACCATAAAAGTCCTGTCTGTGAGGTAAGAGGTGAATCATCTGTGAACAGCACCAGAGAGGCCAACTTCTCTTAGACGCGTTAAAACAGTGTGGTGTACGGTATCAACAGCAGCACGTAGATCCAGCAGAACCAACACCGTTCATCACAATTTAACCTCAAATCATTTAAAATCTTCAGAAGGCCGTCTCCTTGCTGCGGCTCACCCTAAAACCAGACAGAAATTTCTCTAGGACATTTATCACAATGTTTTATGCATTTTTTACCGTTTAGTTTTGCATTCTCACATCATAGCCTTTTCATACTTGAGTATACACGGGCGGTCGGTTTGGCTTTTGTAAACAGAATCAGCTGAGACGGTAAACTGGAGCGATGCAGAGATCTGGAAGCTTCTGGCCTTTAGATCTGAAGCTCAGATCACCAGACAGCTCACCTGGCACTGTGATGGACCGACACCGTTTGGAGCAAATCCTGAAAAACCTTACGGAGCATTGCTTCAATCAGCATAAAATACAGCTTTGTTGAAGCTAAAAGGAAGCCTGTGATGGCGCGGAGACCGCCCCTACATCCACTTTATCCTGCCACCATGCATTTAATTTTGTAAAAGTCACAAGATTATGACCACTTATAAAGGACCAAAAGCTCCCTGATGCTGCCTCAGCTTTGCAGCAAAATAATGTCGGAGTTTTATGAACCAGGCTGGAGTTGTTGTCATCATTCCACGACCGCTGGCTGGTTGGGAGGAACGACCACCGGCTTCTTCTTCTCACTCACTCGGGATGCAAACGTGTAAAGTGCTGTCTCATGTTGGTAGTATTGCTGCTCTATTCAAGTTTTACACAACTTTCCTTTAATCCTGGAAAGTGATCCCACACTCAGTGAAGCTAAGATAGAAGCAGCCACCATGTTTTTGTTTTTCCCGCTGGTCCGTCCCCGAAAGCGTCTGGGCGGCACACACAACTTTAGTGTTGCTGCCGAGCTTGCAGCTGGTTTTCGGCATGCATTTATAATTGTTAATGAACGTTTACAGATCAACATCAACTGGGCACGTGTCACACAGCGGCGCATCAACTACATGGTGAATCTGTACAGCACTAGACTCACAAGTCATAGATGTACAGCAAAGACCAGAATGTGGATCTGGTAGCTGTATTATAATTATCTTTGTTAGTAATAACTAGACTGTTACCTAACCCTAACCCTAACCTGCTGACTTGGCTGTGACTAGAACAGGGGTCAGGTCGTTAGATCATGAGTTTTTCCCCCTTGAAGTAAACAAAAATACACATCTGTATTTAAGCCGTAGACAAGTTTATTTAGCCGTCTTTCGTTTAATTTATCGTAATGGTTTGGCGTAATTAACACATTTTTCTTAATTTACTGTGCCAAAGGTTGATTTAATCAGTTTTATCTTTGTATAGTATAGGGCTATATAAACATCTTACCTCCTCCATCAGCTGATCCTGTTCTAAGGTGGCACAGAGGCAGACCAGGTACATCTGCTTGAAGGCTCCTTTCCCCTGGAAGGCAGAAGACTCGGAGCAGGTCTTGGCCAGAAGTGCAGCCTTCTCCATCTGCTTCTCCTTCATCAGCTGCTTCACTCTCATCTGCAACAGGACGGGTCCCTCCTGCAGCAGGAACTCTTCCACTGAAACAAGTCGCAACCGCTTCTGTTTAGAGAGCTTCAGTTGTTCACTGAATCTGTTACAGAAAAAGTCTCTGCATCAACTGAAGATCAAATCTGGAAGCATTTTCCAGAGATCTTGTTAAAGTAAACCGTAGGGAACGCCATCTTTGTTCATAAACACGGGATCTCCTGCAGGTCCTTCAAGTCTTGTGTGGTAGAGTTTCAGTGTAAACACACGTTGAGAGGAAAGCCTTTAAATACCATAACAATTCATTTCTGTTGCACATTTAAAAAGAGCAGGGGAGCGGACCAAAGCTCTTCCCACACAACACAAAAAACAGGCTCATAAATACAGACCAAACCACCAGTAAGGCAGATTAAACACAGCAAAGCACTAAATAAAACAGTACAACAATAGAAGTCACAATCTAAAAGCAAAATCGTAGAATCATGACGGGAAGGCACCGATGGAGTGACCGACAGTGCGTTCCTGTAAGCTACAGAAACAAAGGCTCGCTCCTCGCTCGCCTTGTAGTTCATAGTGGGGGTGCCAAGTAGCAGGTCAGCTGACCGTAGTGAGCGAGCGAGCGAGCACGCACACACACACGCACGCACGCACACACGCACACAGGGAGGGAGGAGATGGGACAAATATGATGGTGCCAGACCAATCAATGCTTTATAAAAGCAGGACCAGGTTAAAAGCCAACAGGGTTTGGGGGTCGACTGCATCAAAAGCTGCAGAGAGAGCCGTAGAACATGGGACTCTGATTAGGATGCAACCAAAATGTCAAACAGCACAAATCGGTGGTAGGGCTGAATGATTTTGAAAAATAATCTAAATGCCATTTTTTCTTCAATATTGCGATTTAGTTCACGATTATTTTCTCAAAATTTTCAACTAACGGAACCAACAATCATTTATGTCACTTGTACCGAATATAAACAAGTTTATGTATCTACATATTTATCTACATGTCATAACAAGTTTATCTGTCTACATAAACACTCACAAGTAAAGACAACATCTTGTATTTGAAGGTGCGATGCTTGGCAGCCAGGAGCACATCCCTTGAAGGAGCATAGGTATTAGCATCAACTGTGAAAATGTATTAGCAGGAAAGAAGGGTGTCCCGTTTATTGAAGTCTTTTGAGTTTGGCGTCTTGTCCAAGCAGAGCTTCCGTAGTTCAGTACCGTCCATAGCTGCTAGCCAAAACTCAGTGGAGTTAAAGGCTCTTACGGGTTTCTAGCTTTACTAAAATATCTGTAATTATTCGATTAATGGCAGTTTTTACTTTTTATTAGACTCCAAGTGTAATCATTTGGCTCGTTCCTAATTCGTTATTTGTAAGAATGTAATCGGTGATATTAGCATCCCTATGGGTTTTTCCATGTATATTAGCATTGCGCTAACCACTCGCTGCCAGTCACATCGTAGCCTTTACTATTAGAAAATCTCCTTTTGTCACATCCCAATTGAATTGCATATGTAATTAATCGTTGAGCCCTAACCAGTGGCGTGGTTCTGTCGGAACGCAGACTGCAACACATCATACAATGCATCTGTCTCCATGTGGGTCGCAACCTGTGAATGAACAGCTCTCTCCGGGACCTTTGACAGGACTGGAACTTTCAAAATTGGGCTCAAGTTTTCAAAGTCTGAGTGATCCAGACCGGGCTTCCCCAGAATCAGCGGTACATCTGTTTTAGCCGTAGAAATAACACCAGTGACAACAGAAAATGAGTTAAGCCTGGCGGCTTCAGCCGTCAGGGGGGGGTGTCGCACGCTCCGTCCCGCAGCGCTCCTCCGTGAGAGCGGGGGTGGGGGGGAGTTGCACACATCCCACTGCTGTTTCTCACCAGTATCCGCTGACGGAGGGCTCTAGTTTCGTTGCGCCGTTCGTGTCAGCGGACACAATAGGGACAGAGAGGGGGCGGGGCATGACCCTTAGCTTGGCGGGTGGCCAAGCAAAGCACTGGGGGGAAACCCTGATATATCAAAAAAGAAACTTCTGTCGAGCAGATCTAACTGCTCTCCAATACCGAGCAACCCTAACCCAATGACAGAGGTTGTGGTGGGCGAGATATACCCAGACCAACCAGAAACACCACCTGAGCTGCACACACATACCAGTGAAGGGTTGGGATGGAGGTAGAGCCCGGAGGTGTTACCTTGTTCTGTCTGAAGCTCCTGGTTGGACAAGAGGCCTTGCAGCACCGTGTTGGACCATGCTCCATTGTTCCGACCCAGAGCCATCAGCAGCGACAGCTGGTTGATTCCATTCTCCTGAAGTTTGTCATGAGCAAACTACACACGACAGAGAAAAGTTTATAGTGCAGAAGCTACCTGAAACCAGAGTCTGTTAATCAGAGTCCAAAACGTGGAACAGCAACAGTCAGATGCAGAATCAGACCAGATTCTACTGGGGAGGCTCTTGTAATTGATCTCAGAGGTTATTGTAGCGTTCTCATGAGTGCTGATGCTCTCATGAGTCGGTTGTGAATAACGCTTAGGAAGACCTGGAGCTGCAGGGAAACGCAGCCTTATCTCAGGCCTACTTCCATAAATAATAAATAAAATGAGGACAAAATGCTTTAGAGCTGAAATCATCTCCTTTTGTATTTTTACTCCAGCATCCTTAAATCTGGTTTATGTTCAACTATAAACTCAACTCCAAAACAACTCATCTATATAAATATGACGGCCTTGGGAAACATCTATTTAGGCTGAAAGGAGGTAAACTAGGCAGGCGTGCTCCGTGACAGAACAGAAAAACAACCTGCACCAAACCAAGGTACGCCTGAGAAGGTTCACCACAGTGATGTGCCTGAACGAGTTCATTCAACCATTGTTCATGAACTTGGTGGTTTTTTGTGAACTTAACCTGACCTTGCCTGTATTTTGTCTGATTAACATTAAACCAGGTGATCACGTGTTTTTGCTCCTGATCCAATATAGTATTTTGATTTGGTGTATCTGCCGATCCAGTACTTTACAGGAAAGGCAGTGTCTCCTCTGCTTAGGCTCGGGCGTGGCGCTGCACCACGTCTGAAATACAAGCGCCACAGCTACAAAATTAAACACCCCCGCCCTCACAGAAGAAGCACATAAGCGAAACATCGCGTGTGCCATTACCCCTTCCTCGCTCTCACAGCAGCTAAACGGTCCATGAATGTTAGAGAACAGCCCTGACATCAGAGGGAACCTTCAATCGGCAGGATGTGGAGTCTTACTTCCTGATATTTGGACATCTCTCCTCTGACTGGCTAACAGCAACACAACTTTGCAACTGATTCAGCAAAGAAGTGGTCAAAGCCAAACAACAGCACTGTAACATGCAACAGCAAATCTCCGAGGACTCGGCCTAACCCTAACCCTACCTATATTATATAAAGGTGCTCATTTTATGTTTTTGCTTATCTCTTATTTTTTGCACCAGGTACTGCAGCTTTTTCCTTCATTTCTCACACATATGGCACCAAACCCTTCTGATTCTGATTCCATTTACTCGCCAATGGTTAGCTTCTACCAGCCAAGACGTTCTCTGCGGTTTCCTGGAAACTAAAACAACAGCCCTCCCCGTTGTGAGACAAGACGGATGAGTCCATGAACGTTCAGGGACAGCGTGACGTAGATCTGTCAGGTCTTTCTAATCCTAGCGCTTCACCGCCTATTTTCTATCAGAAGCTAATGCAGGAGATAGGTGTAGGAGACTATCTTCATGTTCTGCCTGGAAGAAAAACCCAGTGACTGATGATGAGAATTAACATTTGAACAGTTTCATCAGTGTTACACACCTTTAAAAAAACAAGTCTTCATATATTCCACAGATTTACATAAACTCTGAAAACCTCAGTTTAGGTTCTGTGAAAAAAACCACTAAACAGTTTTATCTTCACCTGCACAGATAACTTGACTTGCATCCATAAATCATCAGGGATGTCCTTCACTGAGAGCAAAAGCTCCAGAAAGCTCCTGTTGGAAGAATAATAAAAGTTGTCCATTATTATGAACCCGGTTTGGCCGCTAGCCAAGACTTCACTGATGTGATTTCACTGGGAATCTGAGACACAAGTGCTGCTTTAAATGCAAACACTGCTGCAATGTGAGTTTTACTTACAGAGAAAGTCTTTCAACCACCAGAGGAACATTTTCACACTGCAGATTAAGGTATGGAGAAGCTTTGGCGTAACTTAGCAGGCCAACAACATACACCTGTACCAGCAGCAGCGGCTCTTCCTCCTGCTTCCATCGTCCTGCAAACTCCAACAGCGTCTGAGGACAGAGAACAAACACGCCACAGGTTCATCACAGACTGTTGTTTATTCTCAGTGGCTTTCAGGGTGATTAAAATACATGCAGCATAAACAAAAACACCCGTTTCCCTCATAGAATAATAATGGTAGATAAGAAACCTGAAGAACCCCTGTCTGCAAATAGATGTCCTGAATATTTTCCTCTTTTAAGTGAACAAAATACTTCGTCATTTTAAAGGCAAACTTGCCAGTTTAGCTGACCCCTAGTGTCCATTTAGTAGAACCAAAAGCTTCATGTCCTCGCTGTGCATTTGCCTTTTTAACACCTTAACCTACGGCCTAAAATCAATATCATGATATATTGATGATTTTACCTCGATAACAATAAATGGACGATAACTATAGGTATGTGCAGAAACAAAAGTTGTCCACTAGATGGGGCTGTCCCATGTATCTTGTTCATTTTTTCGTGACTCAACAGGGTTTTTCCAGGCTCAAATTGAGGCTGAAGTGGTACCATCCCGACCGTGTGCCAGCACATGTATACTCTGTGTATTCAACTGCCTCCCTTTTTAAAAGGCAAAATATCATAAAAGGCTCAATAATATGCATTAGATTGGTGTTTAGTTCCCTTTTTCCCGTCCGATATTTATAGTTAAAATATTTTTATATATTTGACCTACATTTCTGTAACATTTTAGGTTTGTATTAATAACACTCATCTTTAGGGATGGGAATCGAAAACCGGTTCTTGTTGAGAACCGCTTCCCACTATCTCAATTGCTTGGAATCGCTTGCCTTTTTTACAAACGATTTCCTTTTCAATTCCAGTCGGAACGAATGACGCAACGTTGCGCAGCTTGCATAAGCTACGTAACGTCCGTGACGTAATTTAACAGCAGCAAACATGGCGCCTAAGCGGCACAAACGCTCTAAAGTTAGGGTACATTTTACAAGAAAGGATGACAATAGAGCAACTTGCAAAGTTGATATGTTGTTAAAAAGAGGAAATACCTCAAACATGCAAAAGCATATCTTTCAGCGAATGTCGCGTTTTTGATCCATTCCGAACTAGCAAATTTCAACCCAGCAACAGCGGTAACATTTCGCCCTCTTCTGGTAATCTTGCAGGTAACTAATCAACTAACACTGCCTTTCAGGTTAGCGCCTTTTTTGCCTCATAATAAATATCAGTGTGCAATGCATTTAGACGACCAGGACGAGCGAGACAAACAGTCTGGTTGGCTCAGATGCTGGTTGTCCTACCGCTAGCTTCTACTTTCACAGAGGCAGGGAGAAGTAAAATGACACATAGACGAATGTCACCGAGCAGTGACAAAGTTTGTGGTAAGAGGCTTGCACCCATTTGCCACAGTAGATGCTCCTGATTTTAGTTAAGTTCATTTGTTTAAGCGTAGGCTAAACCTGGAATAGTCAAAGTTGCGTGTTATCCTCTAAACAGGTGTTTCCATTATCAATAATGTTTGAGAGAGATGAAAAAGACTCTCAACCCCAAGTACAAAGCCCCAAGCAGAGACAGTTTACCTCGAGGTTTCACTGGCGTGAAGATGGACAGCTGCCTGCTGCGCGGCTGCCGGCTTGTGGAGCTCTCGGGAGACCTCTGTGTTCCACCCGGTTTTACCCAGCAGTCAGCCCGGCGTATCTCTGACTCAGAAGCTCCGGTGTTGAGCACATTATTTATTGTGGCAGAAGCTGGTGTGGTCCACCACAGATGAGCTTTATTCTGCGAGACGCCCTGCCTAAATCTAGTGTGTTAAGCTCCTCTACGTCTTTTGAGGAACGGCTGGTCTCTTTTTATCCAGTATCACTTGCAGAGTTGACCAGTCTGTTTAAAGGGGCTAAAGCTAGTGGGTCACCAGAAGTTATTTTACCCCCGCGTTTGCTTAAGGAAGTTTTTTAAACAGTTGCACCACTGATTTTGCATATAATCAATAACAGTTTGGCTTCTGGTTTTGTACCAACGGATTTAAAAAAAACAGTTATTCACCCACTTTCAAAAAAACCTGGGTTGGATGCTTCCTTACCAGTGAATTATAGGCCAATCTCCAAGTTCCCTTTTTGGGTAAGATGCTGGAAAAATGTGCCTACACTTAACTCATGGACTTCTTTAAGGACTTTGATATTTTAGAGACCCTCCAATCAGGTTTTAAAATGTTGCATAGTACTGAGACTGCCCTTATCGAGGTCTTTAATGACATTCTTTTAGCAACAGACGCTGGCAGTCCAGTGCTGCTGGTCCTATTGGATCTTACAGCAGCTTTCGATACCGTAGACCACGAAGTGTTGCTCCATCGCCTTGAACATTGTGTGGGAAGTTCTGGGCAAGCCCTAAACTGGTTTAGATCATATTTACGTGCAAGATGGTTTGTGTGAGGATGGGTGGCTTCTCATCGGGCTTCTCACATCTGCCACTGGGGATACCGCAGGGTTCAATACTGGGGCACTTGCTGTTTTCAATTTATATTCTCCCATTGGGTGACATTTTACGAAAGTTTGGAATTGGATTCAAACAGAGATGCGCCGAGCTGCGGGGAGGGGAGAACCGGGTGGAAAACAGAGGTCTCCCGAGAGCTCCACAAGCCGATAGTCGGAACCCAGCTCCACCAACATGTTATATTTATATTGCCCTTGCCCTGCCCCCAACATGCCTCCATCTAAATAGGATAGATTATCCAGAGTTATCGCTGTAGTTATGCTGCTATAGGCTTAGACTGCTGGAGGATACACTGACCACTTTTCACACTCTACTGCTTTATTCTACTATCTGCTCTTTAACTGTATTATTTCCTGCTATTTCAGCTGTTAACGTTATTTTCTCTCTTAAGTGTTTTTCTCCCCAGAAGAAGCTACAACGATGTTCTGCTGAGCTGTGGTGGCCTCATGGAGGGGGCCATCGTCTAGCACACTGCTGCTAACCACTTAAACATTCTCCCTCTCCTGATAATAACTTTTTGCTTTCCTTGACGTTGGATGTGCTACTACTAGTTTACCCGTTTAATTATAGATCCACTAGGATAAATACAATAAAGTTTATCTTTCACCAAATAGAATATTTACTAAGAAATCACAATGTAACCATAGATACATTGCTTGTCTTTGTGTGTGTGTGTGTGTGTGTGTGTGTGTGTGTGTGTGTGTGTGTGTGTGTGTGTGTGTGTGTGTGTGTGTGTGTGTGTGTGTGTGTGTGTGTGTGTGTGTGTGTGTGTGTGTGTGTGTGTGTGTGTGTTCTCGATCCCCAGTGAGTCGTGGAGGATGGCTGCTTATACCGAGCTGGGATCCTCTGGAGGTTTCTTCCTGTTAAAAGGGAGTTTTCCTCTCCACTGTCGCTGCCCTTTTACTACCTACGTCATCAAATGTTGCGTGCGTAGCCTGGCAACGAGAGTGAAGGCTTCCTCATTCACACTCGATACTAAAACAGCGTTTTAAACCGTTTGTTTTGAAGTTCTGAGCACATAAAAATGTCGGATTGTTGCGTGTATGGATGCCAGAATCGCTTCTCTTCAAGCAGTGGACGGAAACTTTACAGAATTCCGAAGGGAGCAAATCCATTTCAACACAATCGGAGGCGTCTGTGGCTGCAGGCCATCAAAAGGGTTGATGAAAACTGGACTGAAAACACAATCCGAAATGCTCGAGTTTGTAGCGCCCATTTTATATCAGGTAAGGTAATTATGTACTAAGGTTACATATAAATTGATACGCTTTATTTCATGCTTCAAATTAACATTTCATTCTAATTCATCTGTTTTTTCCCACTGCATGTTAGTATAAACTGTATTTCTCTAAAATTAACACGATTGTACTCTGAGCACGCTAAAAAAAGAAACCTATGCTATACTCACCCTGCCATGCAGGTACAGTTGGCTGTGAAGACGTAGTTCTCTGGTTTGTTTACTATGACCCAAGCCTCGTACGTAGCAGTCCTTGTCTTTGGCTAGGAAGGACTTGTGCCTTCAAGACGCAAAACTCAAGAGTCTATGTCGTGATATTTTACTTTCTGTACGTGGCCACAGACAACATAGTTGTATGCATCTAACGATTTGTATGCGCCTAACTTCTCACGTGTGTACTTACTGGGCCTCACCACTAAAAACGTATATATCGGGCCACTGGACATCCGGCCACGCACCTACATCTTCCACCCATTCCGTAATGCCACAGGGATCCGGGAGTCTGTTGCCATTCGTTAAAGTGAGTTTAATAATATAACATTCAAGATTAGCCGGTGATAACCCCGCAGCGTAGCTTGATAAAGCCTGACACAACGCCATTCTCTGTTGCCAAGCTGCGCGAGCATTCTCGCTGACGTCATATCGTTTAAAAGGGTCTATAGTCACTGACACTAGTCAGTGACTTGATGCAATTTGCTGGGTTCCTTATATAGGAAACATTATTTCTGATTGGCTTAATGAACTGACCTGAATTGAAATGTTTATTATGTGAAGTGCCTTGAGACGACTCTTGTTGTGATTTGGCGCGTTATAAATAAAGTTGAATTGAATTATATTTCAACCCATTTTCTAAAGTGCAGCATTATGTTAACTGCACTGGGTTTTACCCTATTACATTTAAATTTCATGGTTAAACAGTACATGTTAAAATCTAAGCTCAGCTCGGCAGTGACCTAAAATACATAAATATAATTTTACTTACCAAAAAAAAATGAAGTGGAGACTCCTTGGACGCTCTATTAGTGCAATTAATGCCACAGCAAGTCATTTTGTCCAACAATTGCACAAATAATATCCAAACAAGAATACACAAATGGCACAACTAATGGTCTAAGTTGAGAGACTGAAAATCGCAGAAGTTTTCAGACTGAGGCCTTTCCACGGAGCTAGCTCTGTGGTCACGTGGGTCTGATCAGTGTTGCCAACTGTTTTTGACTGAAGGTAGCTGAAGTTCCCCCCAAAAGTCACTAGATGTCGCCAGATGACGTCACGTGCTTATTTACATATTGATGACGTCATCACGCCACATTAGTGTTCGTTTTCCCTA